CCCTTTCTTGTTGTTTATTGGCTGACATTGAGCCGAGCAGGAGTAGGAATTCTCCTCGGTTTGGCCCCATTGCTTCAGGTAATTACACGTATGTAGATCGGGCTGAGATTGGGCCTCCGTGGCCGCTGCCATCTGCAGATGGCTCCGGCTAAACGATTCGGAGGCAGATTAAAGCTCCGCGAGCCCTGTGATGTTCCGCTTCTGGACGGGGGGGGGACAGTCGGGAGGTCGGGATTCCAATATAAATGTAAAGCAGTCCCGGAGCTACAAATAAGAGCTGTTGAATTCATTTTCAGGCTGACAACACGCCTGTGGAGGCTCTTTTCCCCTCTCAATTCTGCTTCAGACTCTCTCGTTTAGGTCGAAAAGCAACAAGGAATTTTTTTCTCCCTGCCACAAAATTTCCTCGTCGCCTATTTACAAGAGTGAGGAACAAATTGGGCTCAAATCCCCAGGGTCTGAAAACACGACTGACTCCTTTAGAAAGGGCCCACATTGTTCTGTTCTTCTCCACAGGACCTCACACGGTTCAGAAAGCATCCTCTTTTTCTGCTTTCAGCGTTTTTGAACATGTAGACTTAGACTTAGAGACTTAGAGAATTAAACTTCCTTTATTGTCATTGCACAAAAAACACGAGGTGAATTTGACAAACGAAATGTCGATTACTTGGCTACCAGTGTGACAGCTAAGCAGGGATGGGGATCGTTAATATTTATTGATATCAATACCTTTATCGATACTCCTTATCGATCCAAGTCTTTATCGATACCACTATCCATACTTTTCTGTTATTTGGTGGAAAGACGATGCGACAATATTTAGCAAATAAATAATTGTATTATAAATTAAATGTCATTTTTAATAAATGTTGGCATCAGTAGTTAAATTATATATTCAAAAATAATTAGAGCAATATACAACTGTATTACTCGTGTTTTTCGCCAAAAACTCAATTTCCCTTTTCTTTACGGTACACTTGAACGCATCATGATAACCTGATTGTCGTTTTACTGAGCCAATCTGAACACGTCTGAAACTTTATTTACTTTTCAAGCTAACTAGCTTGTATGCTGCCGATTACAACACGGATTTCACAATTACTATTGTAATAATAAAAAAAAAACACCAGACTCGATAGTGGTATCGATAAACCCAAACGCTATTGATTTTGGGGTTTTGAAAAAAGTGGAACCAGGTCCTTGATAGAACCGGGTTTCGATCCCCATCCCTACAGCTAAGACCTTATACCTGCACAATGAATATGTATTGTTTTGTATTCTATAACTAAGCGCTAAGAGCTAGCTATATACAGGGTAAAGAATTATATTCATACTTATTTATTATATTATATCCTCCTGAGACCCAAAGAAAAAAAGTGTCTTCAAATTTCTTTTTTGTTGTGATTTTCCATGTATTTGGACCTAAAAAAGAACATTACAATTTAAATTTAAAAAAATATATTTGTAATTTTAATTTCATAGCATGTCCACTGTGGAGGACAACAGGACGATTTGCCTGGGAAAATAGAACAGGCTTTAGATAATTAAATAATACAAAAGAAGATGTCTTGAAAGGGATATTTACCTAAGAACTCTTAGGAAAAAATAAAGTTCCCAGCATGCAAACCTATCACATGGCACATCACTGGAAAGCCCAGGATGTCCTCTACAGAACACTATAGGGCTTGATAGGGTAACTCCAGATACTTAGGGGGGGTACAGGTGGACAAAATGTCCACTATAATGGACATAAATGAATGGGCCGGGTCTCAGGAGGATATATAAATAGGGCCCTCAGCATTTGTAGGGCCTCAGTGATGGGTGAATCTCTACTGGCAAACGGCACGAGCTGGAACTGGGCTCAAATGAAAGGCCTTCATCCTTTCTTGTTTATTCCTCCTGATTCGGAGCGGTTAGATTTGTGAATTGGAGACTCATAAACCCCCTTGTCTCTGCAGTGCTGGACATGGCGCGCCACGTGCCGCTGTACCGGGCCCTGCTGGAGCTGCTGAGGGCCATCTCCACCTGCACCGGCCTGGTCCCGCTGCTGCTGCCCCTGTCCGGAGACCAGGGCCCGGACGAGGAGGAGGAGGACGAGGAGCACTCGGAGGGCCCGGCCTCCGTGGGCATGCTGCTGGCCAAGATGAAGACCTGTGTGGACACGTACACAAACCGCCTCAGGTAAGAAAAGAGGAGAAAAAGAGGCCGTTTCAGGTGCTTTTTTCTGTCCTTAAATCAAATATCATACCGTAAATATCACTTCTCTTCACGTTCTGTGGCATGAAAAGCCCCGATGCACAGCAGGCCTGGCTCAGAGCCAATCAGCTGGCAGGGTTCAGTCACATGACCAAACACTCCCGCCCTGCCACATGGAGGAAGTGGGCGGCAGTGTCCAGTCAGAGCAGGATTTAATAGCCAGGCTGCTGCTTTTGGCTCACGGCTGAAAACCAATCACTTCTGAACTTTGGCCTGCATGTTTTCACTCTAGCCAAACATTTGTGCCAGTCATAATGCTTCAAATTAAAAATGTTTAATTTGGGTTACATTTAATGTCTTCGAAATAATTTTTTTGTACAAAAGCTAAAGAATCCATGATGCAAACTGGAAACTGGTATATTTATGTGCAGCCTGGATTTTTTCAAATGTATTTATTTATTTATTTATTTATTTTTAACAGCCTGGACTTTTTATTTATTTATCTAATTTAATTAATGAATTAATTTTTAACAGCCTGGACTTTTTTATTGATCTAATTCAATTAATAATTTATTTTTAACAGCCTGGACTTTTTTATTTTATTTATTTATTTATTTATTTATTTATTTTTAACATCCTGGACTTAATGTGACTTAATGTTATTGTTCTGAAACACTGTCTGTCTGTGGAAGTGTGTTGGTTTTGACAGCTTTCTTTGTTTTTAAAAAAGAGGGAAAAAATAGATATGATCAGAAAATCACTACAAGGCATGGAGATTTCTTTTATTTGTTCATTTTTCCATCATATCTACACACAGCAACAGAAATTAGAGCCGAGGCTCGGGGTTCTCTGGACCTTAGCAGTCCACCCATTCCCGTCTGTAACTCTCAATTCAATTCAATTTTATTTCTATAGCGCCACATCACAACAACAGTTGTCTCACAGCTTTCCAAACAGAGCAGGTCAGACCCTACTCTGAAGTTAACTACAGAAACCCAACAATTCCCACCATGAGCAAGCACTAGGCGACACAGGCAAGGAAAAACTTCCTTTTAACAGGCAGAAACCTGGAGCAGAACCATGGCTCAGGGTGGGCGGACTTGAAATTCTGTGCGTTTTCAGGTCCAAAAAAGACAAAAGCAAAGGCGTGGTGAAAGCCGACGGCGCCGACTCCGAGCCGGAGGGTCTGACCCTGCTGGTGCCCGACATCCAGAGGACGGCCGAGATCGTCTACGCAGCCACCACCAGCCTGAGGCAGGCCAACCAGGGTGGGTACACACCGCCAACATCTGTCTCCAGTAGGGTTGTCAACATACTAACATTTTCATTTCGATACCGATACTCAGGAAAATACTCGATACCATTTTCGATACCACAAGGATAAAAACAAAGACCCCAAAATTTAACTGAATTGTGTCTTTCATTTCAAACTGACCTGTTACTGATGTTATGGTGGCCCACATTAATGACCCTAACCCTAACCCTGATCCTAATCCTAACCCTAACCCTAACCCTAACCCTCCAGCCTTCATAATTGTGAGAAATATATGTTTTTTGGTTAAACTTGTTTGGACTTATTGTGCAAACCTATTTAACATCCACTATTTTAACATAATATGTATAGAGTTTAATTAAGTGTTTGAAAGATTCATTTAACTATTTTTAAATTAATGTCTATATTGCCATGAAGCAATTACAATTTTCTTGCCTGGGATCTTCCTATTGGTGACCTAATCAAAATGACCGACTTGGATGTGGGCGGAGTTGGATATGTACTTGATTAATGGTAGCATGTTATTATTAGCCATTAGCCGCAGCTAGCAGTTCAAGGCTAACGTCTTGTTAATGATCATAAACAACGTAAATAAATACATAAATAAATCAGAGAGAAGGGGGTGGTATCGATACTTTTGAAAATGAGTATCGTATCCGGATACAACATTTTAGTATCGATAATTTGTCGAGTATCGATGCTTTTGACAACCCTAGTCTCCAGTCCTGGGCTCATTGCTCCCCTGCTCTAACGGTCCCGTCTCAGAAAGTGGAACCCATCCCTCCTCCTGCTGATTTCACATCGCTGGTTCTGCCGGTTCTCTAAAATGGACTTTGATCACGAGTTCATGGTCCTTAGCCTCTTTTCCTCACATTCAGATTTTGAACGATAGCACAGTGCGCGTCCCATGTAATGGCCGAGACTCTTCCGGCCGGCCGTTTGTCACTTTAAAGAGGCAGCGCCGTCGTTAAACGTCCTCCGCATGATGAAATATCGCTCCTTCCCCATTAGCTTGTTGCTACACAGTGCACACTATTAATTATCCGCCACCTGCGAGCTTCCTCCAGAGGATCTTTATGCTCAGCCGTCTGACTAATCACCGAGCTGGGCAGTTGGACATTAGATCTAATGGATGAGGGCTATATATATATATGTATGAATATCATCTAAAGTTCTGTCTCTTCATGCTGACAGTCTGTATGAAACAGGCCTTATGAGCTGTATGGTGCACTGTGAGGAGCATTGATAAAAGCAGCATCAGGGAAACAGGAAAGGACACAATGGCCTCTGTGTTCTTGTATAATATCCCCTCTGATCCGTCCTTATCTCCATTGTAGCTCATCAATCCCCAGCTGTGCTACCAGACTCTGTTTCCAAACCCAATTCACCATTCTCGTTCAGTTTAGATACAGTGGGGGATTTTGCAGGTTTGCCCACTTACAAAGAATGCAACGATCTATAACTTTAATCATACGTACATTCTAACAGCGAAAGACAGAATCCCAAAGAAAATTCCAGAAAATCACATTATATGAATTTATAAAAATGGATAACCATCTGATGAGGAAAAGTAAGCATTCTTTGTAAGTGGGCAAACCTGCAAAATCAGCAAGGGGTCAAATACTTATTTCTCCCACTGTATTATCCATTTGTCCTGCAACCTCTGATTTATTTACGAGTTTCTCTCCCTCTCTCCACCCGACTCCAGAGAGGAAGCTGGTGGAATCGTCCAGGAAGGTGTCCAGCAGGCCCAAGCCTCTGTCCATCCTCCGGTCTCTGGAGGAAAAATATGTGGCCGCCATGAAGAAACTGCAGTTCGGTGAGCCAGTTTGTATCAAACTATCAAGTGTCACATGCATATTTGCTCCGTATACCTGAAATCGTTTCATTTTATTCATTATTTATCTGAAAATGGGACTTTTTTAAAGCATGTGTGTCAATCCTGAGAGTAAGGACAAACCTCTACCATTCAGCTGAGGAAGCCTCAGCCCAAACATTTTAGATTTAGTTTTATTTTCCCCAATTTCACCTGATGGTGCCCTCACTTTCTCTGGCTTCCAGCCCTACTGAAGCACCTGCCAGCAGGATTTTAATTAGTCTGGTTTGGTCCGTTCTTGTTCTTTGTTTCTGTTTTAATGATGGTTCTCCCTCCGTCTTTTATGTAAAGCACTCTGGATTGTCCCGTACGTCCCGAATTGTGCCGTCAGATAAATCTGCCTTTTGCCAGGAATCCTTGACCCGGTCAAAGCAGGCGGTCACCCTCCAGATGAATCCATTTATCATGGACAGGATGCTCTGTCGGCCTCAGTTCCAGACTCAGGACCAGGGACGGGGATCGTTAATATTTATTGATATCGATACCTTTATCGATACTCCTTATCGATCCGAGTCTTTATCGATACCACTATCCATACTTTTCTGTTATTTGGTGGAAAGACGATGCGACAATATTTAGCAAATAAATAATTGTATTTTAAATTAAATGTAATTTTTAATAAATGTTGGCCTCAGTAGTTTAATTATATATTCTAAAATAATTAGAGCAATATACAACTGTATTACTCATGTTTCTCGCCAAAAACTCAATTTCCCTTTTCTTTACGGTACACTTGAACGCATCATGATAACCTAATTGTCGTTTTACTGAGCCAATCTGAACACATCATCACGCAGCACGTCTGAAACTTTATTTACTGTTCAAGCTAACTAGCTTGTATGCTGGCGATTACAACACGGATTTCACAATTCCTATTGTAATAATAAAAAAAACCACCAGACTCGATAGTGGTATCGATAAGCCCAAACGTTATTGAATTTCGGGTTTTGAAAAAAGTGGAACCGGGTCCTTGATAGAACCGGGTTTGGATCCCCATCCCTACTCAGGACCCTCTCCCTCCCGTCTCCTCTCCTTTTTCAGACACCTTTGAGATGGTATCGGAGGACGAGGAGGGGAAGCTGATGTTTAAGGTCAACTACCACTACATGTCTCAGGTGAAGAACGCCAGCGACACCAACAGCGCCGCCCGCTCCCGCCGCCTGGCCCAGGAGGCCGTGACCCTGTCCACCTCCCTGCCCCTGTCCTCCTGCTCCAGCGTCTTCGTCCGCTGCGACGAGGAGCGGCTGGACATCATGAAGGTACGCCTGTGCTCTCTGGTCAGTTCTCTGACCTGTGGCCTCCACGCTGCGCTCCCATAAAGACGGGGGGCCAGCTTATTTATTTATTTATTTTATTTTATTATTAGTATTTTTTTATTTTTTTTATTCTTTTGTATTTATGTATTTATTTTTTTTAATTTTTTTATTTATATTTTTTTTATTATTTTTATTTTTTATTTAATTAATCAGGACAGTGCACATTAATGAACAATCTCATACAGATTGTAAACGAGCCAGATTCTAGCATAGTTGCTAATTTGCTAATCTGTCGTCCTGACGCAGGAAGACAAAACAACACAAAATCACAAAATACAATATCAGTTAAAACAGAGAGACACACGTTCAGACAATGACGTTACAAAAACAAAATTAGTTATTGCAAGACTGGGAACTTTTGAGAAACAGTTTAAGGTGCTTTTTAAATGTGTAGCCGTTTCAAGATGGCTTCCCCTCGCTAGCTGATTTACAGCTCGTCTGCCAAATGTCCCCGATCTGTTCACCTGGATTGTCACGCTGTACGGGGTTTTTTTTCTGGTGCACAGGTTCTCATCACGGGCCCGGCCGACACCCCGTACGCCAACGGCTGCTTCGAGTTCGACGTCTACTTCCCCCAGGACTACCCCAACTCCCCCCCGCTGGTCAACCTGGAGACCACGGGCGGACACAGCGTGCGCTTTAACCCTAACCTCTACAATGATGGCAAAGTAAGAGCAAAATGGCCGCCCCCTTCTTGTAGCTGTGTGGAAACTTGAGGGATGGACCTTTAAGGGGCGGGCAGATGATTCAGAGCACTTTTTAACTTCCACCTAAATTAGATTACACTGTGAGGAGTCTCCATTATTTCATCCAATGCTCTTAATAGCGTTTGACACCAGATTTGCTCAGAAACGTGAACACTTGACCCTGCCTTTGTGTTTCCTGTTCATGTGTGGTTTCCTCCCCTTCCAGCTTCAGAAGGATTCAGGAGTTAGATGTTCCTGTGTTTAATAGATGTTCCTGTATTGCTAGCAGCTAGCTCTGAGTTCCTGAAAACCAACAGACTTTGAGACTAGGTCTCCACTCGCACCCTAAAAAAATATCTTCAGCACATCCCTCCAGCTGTAGGCTTCCAAGTGGTGGATTTAGTTCTCCTTTAGAGGGCCCAGATGTTGGCTGCCGTTTAGACGTGTTAGGATACGTTGTTCTGCTCTGACTCCTAGCAAGTAAGAAGCTTAAGTCAGAGAGTGGAAGCTCCCCAGGTGCGTTTCTGTGCTGGTTCCTGATTGGTTCCACAGGCCCGTAGTTCCCACATCACACAGATGATGCAGATGTTAGGAGAAGCTTCAAAACCGAGCACCTGGGAGAGAACGCTGTCTTTCCAAAGCCGGTTTCTGCATGAGTTCTTTTCAGTGTTTCATTGTTTTTATTTGAAGACTCCTGCTCTGGGTGGGCCCGGCCCGGGCCTCATGGGGGGCCTGTGGTCTGTGGTGTTCCCCCTGAGCCTGATCCCGGCCCCCTGCTTTTTTTTTAAGGTGTGCTTAAGCATCCTGAACACGTGGCACGGCAGACCGGAGGAGAAGTGGAACCCTCAGACCTCCAGCTTCCTGCAGGTAGGACGCGGACGGGGAGCGGTCTTTGCTCTTTTTATGGGGCCGTCCTTAGCTTTGCAACCCAGACACATTTTGAACGCGCTGTAAACGTGCACTCTTCAGAGCTCTGAGACCTGTGGCCGCACACACAGCTGGTCCAGACCCGCCCACGTTCGCCTTTTAACTCATTGGCTGCCAAAGACGTCTATAGACGTCAATTCAAATACAACCGTTGACTGCCAAAAACGTCTATAGACGTCTTTTATGTTTTTCAACAAGAGTGGCTTGGGGGACGATCTGCTAAAGCTTGTCCGTCAATATCAGGCTTCTAGACAGAGTATGTAGTAACAAATTGACCCTCTAGGGGGCAGTGCCACTTTTGATGGGAGATGAGCATAGACTGTAGGCAAATAAGAAAAAGGTAACGGTTCTATGAGAGAACATGTCGCCGGTGAGACGCAAGTCCAGGAAGAACGGAATAAGGTAGAAACCATTTTTTTTCCTGATGAAAGAAGAGAGTCTACTCTTTCTTTTGGTGTGTTCGGTGTTTACATAGTCATAGCACAAACTATTCTGTGGCTCTTGAAAAATCAGTCAAAATGCTCAAAAAAACTCTGGCAGTATGGGACTCTGTTCTGAAAATGGCTGCCAGTCAATGAGTTAAAGATGTATCCATGACAACCACAAGCCGGCCTGAGCCCTGGGATGGATCTGTTTCCTCCCCCGATCGGCTCAGGCACCAGGCGGGCGGCCATAGAGATGTTTCCACGGCTTAGCCCCGCCGTTAGCATGCTGTAGATCAATACTGGACCACAGCAGGCTCTCCGAGTCAGAGACGGGGAGCGAGCGGGTTTCAGATCGGCCTTAGGCCTAACCCCGACCCTCTCCCGCAGGTGCTAGTGTCGGTACAGTCCCTCATCCTGGTGGCCGAGCCCTACTTCAACGAGCCCGGGTACGAGCGCTCCCGCGGGACCCCCAGCGGCACGCAGAGCTCCCGGGAGTACGACGGAAACATCCGGCAGGCCTCCGTCAAGTGGGCCATGCTGGAGCAGATGCGCAACCCCTCGCCCTGCTTCAAAGAGGTAGGAACCCCGTTCTCAGTCCCACCCCGGCCTGAACACCACAAGAACCGTCTTCTAACGGAGGGCTTCAGTCTGTGACGGTCCTCTTTGCGTCTTCACTCCAGAAAGACAAGGGAAAAAGCTTAAAAACCAGCTGTCTGCGGCGTTAAAGCCAACACATTGTTCATTCCTAAACCCGCTCTCTGCACAGTCTGTCGGGTTTTCCAGCTATAAAGCCGTTCTCTCTTGTTTTTAATTCTCAAAGCATACTTTTTTCCCCCAAATGCGGCCATGATAGCGTTTGAAAACTCCCCGGTTTCTTCCAGTTAATGCTCAGAGTGGCTAACAGCAGGGCATCAGCATCAGCCTGTGTCTGTTTCTACTTCTTGGGGCTAAAAATGTAGCCCAGGCTGGCCCCCCCTCTACTCCCCCCAGGCCTGTGATTCGGTTGTAATCCTTAAAGAGGTCCTTGGAGAGACGGATGAGGCCCCCCCCCGGCAGATGACCATCCTTCAGCCCGCTCATCCAGAGCCGGCTCACTCAGAAGTGTCAGGCAGGAAGGGGGGGGGGGGAAGGGGGGGGGATGGGGGGAGAGGAGGGGGGGGGGGGGGGGGGTCATTTTTTTTATGACACTATGTAAGAAAACCAGCTCATTGGAAGATGAGATTCACCAGTCCTGCGAGTTTAGAGAAGACCAGAAAGATGTCCAGCTCAACTAAAAAATGAGTCCCTCCATGCTTTCACAGCTTAAAAACTGTGAAAGTGGATGGAGGTGGATGGAGGTGGATGGAGGTGGATGGAGGTGGATG